CATGCCTTAGAGATCGTTGGCGTGGGAACCATCAAATTAAAGATGTATGATGGAATAATTAAAGTTGTTCGAGATGAGCGACACGTGAAATGCCTGAAGAAAATTTTATTATCCTACGGATTGTTGGATAATAATACAAGCAAGATTAAAACACGAAAAGGAATCATGAAGGTGTTCCATGGAGCGCTTGTGGTGATGAAAGGTGAAAAGATAGCAGCAAACTTATACATACTGAAGGGAGAGACTTTGCTAGAAGCAAAAGCCTCTGTTGCCTCATGTAGTTCAAATTCTACAATGCTATGGCATCAGAAACTTGGACACATGTCAGAACAAGGAATGAAAGTCCTTGTGGAGAAAAAGCTACTTACAGGCTTAACAAAGGTATCACTTACTTTGTGTGAGCATTGTATAACAAGTAAGCATCATCGGTTGAAATTCAACACGTCAAATTCTAGAGGCAAAAATGTTCTAGAATTGATTCATTCTGACGTATGGCAAGCACTAGTTACATCCCTAGGAGGAGCAAAATACTTTGTCTCATTTATTGATGACTACTCCAGGAGATGTTAGGTGTACCCTATTAAGAAGAAGTCATACGTGTTTTCAACTTCCAAAAACTTCAAAGCGTGGGTGGAACTTGATTCTGGAAAAATGATCAAGTGTTTCTGAACAGATAATGGAGGAGAACACACAAGTGAAGAAGTTGATGACTTTTGCAGGAAAGAAGGCATCCAAATACAGTTCACAGTGGCAAACACTCCTCAACAAAATGGAGTGACAGAGCGGATGAACATAACCTTGTTAGAAAGAACAAGAGCAATGTTGAGAGATGCAGGCCTAGAAAAATCATTTTGGGCAGAAGCAATCAGTACCGCCTGTTATTTGGTGAATCGAGCTCCATCAACTATAATAGAGCTGAAGACACCAATGGAGATGTGGACTTGTAAACAAGCTGATTATTCAAACCTCCATATATTTGAAAGTATTGTGTACATGATGTACATCTCCCAAGAAATTTTAAAGTTGGATCCAAAATCCAGGAAATACACATTCTTGGGGTATGTTGATGGAATAAAGGGGTATCACTTGTGGGATCCCACTATCCGCAAAGTGATCACTAGCAGGGATGTTATCTTTGTAGAAGATAAACTAAAAAGAAAAGAAGAAGATGATAGCACTGAAAAGTTAGAGACTACACGGATACATGTGGAAAAGAAGGTTGAACAAGGAGATTCTTCTGAAGCAGAATCAGTACATGATGAACAAGAACGAGAGAGTATGAAGCTTCAATAACTCGTCAATCAGATCATGTGAGAAGACGTCCCAATTGGCACTCAGATTATGTTATAGAAGAAAATATTGCATACTGCCTTTTAACAGAGGACGGTGAGCCATCAACATACTTAGAGGCAATAAACAACTCAGATGCTTCACTGTGGATGATGGCGATGCAACAAGAAATTGAAGCCCTTCATAAAAAAAATACATGGGACCTTGTGCCACTACAACAAGGAAGGAAACCAATTGGTAACAAATGGGTCTTCAAAATCAAGCGAAATGGTAACGATCAAGTTGAGAGGTATCGTGTAAGACTGGTGGTCAAAGGATATGCTCAAAAAGAAGGTATTGATTTCAATGAAATTTTTCTCTTGTGGTTCAACTAACAACAGTTCAAGTATTATTGTCAATATGTGCTAAATTGAACTTACATCTAGAGCATCTAGATGTTAAAACAACTTTTCTTCATGAAAATCTTGAAGAAGGGATTTACATGATCTAGCCTGAAGGTTTTGAAGAAAAAGAAAAGAAGAACTTGGTTGGCAGGTTGAACAAATCTCTGTAAGGTCTAAAGCAGGCGCTGAGGTATTGGTATAAAAGATTTGATTCCTTCATTATGTGCCTTGGATACAACAGACTTAATGCAAATATTTGTGCTTATTTCAAGAGGTTTGGTGATAATGATTTTGTTATATTATTGTTGTATGTGGATGACATGTTGGTTGCAGGACCCAACAAATATCATATTGAAGAATTGAAGCCACAACTGGCTAAGGAATTTGAAATGAAAGACTTGGGATCAGTAAACAAGATTCTAGGGATGCAAATTCACCGAGACAGAAGTAATAGGAAGATTTGGCTTTCACAAAAGAATTACTTGAAGAAGATCTTCTCACGATTCAACATGCAAGATTGTAAGCCAATTTCTACCCCTCTTCCTATTAACTTCAAATTATCCTCCAATATGAGTCCTAGCAGTGAATAAGAGAGGATGGAGATGTCTCGAGTACCATATACATCGGCAGTGGAAGTTTAATGTTCGCTATGATATGCATAAGACCAGACATTGCACAAGCAGTGGGAGTGATTAGTCGGTACATGGTGAATCCTGGGAAAGAGCATTGGAATATAGTAAAGAGGATCCTAAGATACATCAAAGGGACCTCAAATGTTGCATTATGTTACAGAGGATCAAATTTACTTATTAATGAGTATGTTGATTCTGATTATGCAGGATATTTGGATAAAAGCAAATCTACTACAGAATATGTGTTAAAAGTTGTTGGTGGAGCTGTAAGTTGGGTTTCAAAATTGCAGTCAGTTGTGGCTACTTCCACAACAGAGGCAGGATATGTAACAGCTACACAAGCCAGTAAAGAAGCAATCTGGTTGAAGATGCTATTGGAGGAGCTTGGGCACAATCAAGAGAATGTCTCTTTGTTTTGTGACAGTCAAAGCGCCTTGCATCTAGCAAGGAATCCAGCATTTCATTCAAGGAAAAAACACATACGAGTTCAGTACCATTTCATTCGTGAAAAGGTGGAAGAAGGGACAATAAATATGCAGAAAATCCATACCAAAGACAACATTGCATATTTCATGACGAAGGCGGTCAATGTTGATAAATTTACTTGGTGTCGATCCTCTTGTGGCTTATCAGAAACGTAAGCAACATGAAGATACAAGGTAGAAAGAATGGTGTGAAGATATGATTGTTCCAATCAAATTTTCAAGTGAGAGATTGTTGAAAGTTAAAAAAGGCCAATGGGGCGGTTGATTTGGTCCAAGATGGCCGCATTAATGGGGAAGCTGATTTGGTCCAAGTTGGCATCATGATTTGGTTGAAATGTGGAATGAGAAAATTGCTCATTTAGTCCTTATACTTTAGGGTATTTACAAGATTAGTCATTAAGCTTCAACTATAAATACACTAACCCAAATAGCTTCAAAACCATCCCAAATCATTCTAGTTTTCTCCCAATACTAGAGAATTTAGAGAGTTTTCTTGAGAGTTATTTTCTCTTTTTTATCAAGAGATAATTATTATTGTTTTCTCCTTGTTAGATCGAGAGAAGTTGTCATTCATATTTTTCTTATAGTAAAATTCTTATATATTTGCCTGTGGTTTTTACCCTATATTATTTAGGGGTTTTCCACGTAAAGTTTGTCTTCTTTATCTTCTTTTTTATTTTCTTAAATTATTACTTGTGATTTTGCTCTATCCGATAGTCGTATTCTGCAACAAGAAGTAATGACATCTCTTGATTTATAACGTGTTGTTTTAAGGGACTTGCATCTCTAAGCCAGGGATCTCTCCAAGAGTCGACAATGATACCATTCCTGATCGATCAAACCAAACTATCATGGATATATTTACATACTAGGCTTACTCCCTTCCATAATCTTGTATAATTCTATCGAGAAAAGTCCTTAGGTATGATGCCACTTCATTTGTATTTATTCCTTAGCATCTTTGCCAAAGTTGGTTTGGTCTCGTTACTAAATTAAAGGTCACATTCATCAAGAAAACGTCATTTTGTTTCTCTGGTATCTTGAATCCCAAACCAACATCCTTTATCGGGGTGCACACTGTGCCCTAATTAACCAAGCTTATCCCAATTTTTCCCTTGGATTTCCTCCATATGAAATTCCAAATTATCTTTTTGATCTCGTGACAGGTACCCTTCGGTAACATGGTTGACTGCCTTGAATAAAAGGGGATCGATGCTAATATCAACTTACTTAGTTTAATTCGGCATACGAGTGATAAATGTTTTGTGACTCATCTGGTTAACCTGTCCTGAACCCTTTGTATGATGTGTTGTAAGTCTCTTTTGTGACTCGACTACGTAGAAGAGGTATACCAAGATACTGCCCCAAATCCTGGACTTCAGTGTAACCACACATAGCCTTCAATGTTGTCCTGTAGTGGTCTTTAACATTCCTCGAATACAAAATATTTGTTTTGGGAATTCTCAACTTCTGTCCAGAGGCTAGACAGAAATTATCTAGGATGTCTTGAATAGTTCTTGCATATTGCTTCTTTGTTTCTGAAAATATCATCGTATCATCAACAAAAAATAGGTGTGAGATTTTCGGTCCACCGCGAGCTAGTCAAATTGGTTTCCATTTTTTTTGTCTATGCTCCATTGAATGGGTTGTCTTAGCCTTTCTATGCATAGCATAAACAGGTATGGGTCCCTGTCGAATTCCTCTCGAAACTATTCCATTCCAAGTGGACACGTACCTCATAATAAGCTAATGCAAGTTTGTAGGTAATTCGATATCCTGTATCATTTATGAATGACCATTCCAGGTGATCATATGATTTTTCTGGGTCTATCTTAATAGCCATATAACCCTTTATGCCTTTCATCAATTGATTTTTCAAGGATAAACCATGACAATATTCTCTGTGATCGATCTTTCAAGGTCAAAGCTCGTTTGATTATGAGAAACCCAATGTGACATAAGTAGCTTGAGTCTATTTACTATTAGTTTTGTCACAATTTTGTACAGAACAGAACACAGACTAATCGGTCTAAATTGGGTGATTAATTCTGAAGCTTTTATCTTGGTATAAGAACTATCAGTGTTCGATTTAGGCTTTCATCGAGTTTCCTCCTGCGAATGTCCTTAACCAATCTACAGGCGCTATCACCTATCACTGACCAATTTCGTTGATAGAATATACCGTGAAGTCCGTCCACTCCAGGTGATTTAATAATTTGGACCATTTTCCAATTTGTGCACGCCATCCTTGTGCAGGGGCCATGCAATCTTCTTTGTATCATTCCAATTTTATTGGATGTCCCTAGAGGACATAATTTTTTAAAAATCAAATTTAACTTTGACTAAGATTGTTTTAAATATTTTAAATAATTAGATGTTATAAAATATATTTTAAAAATTATTTAATTGAAAGTTTTTAAAAATATATTTTTTCATATTTTTATTAATAATAAATTTTAGATAATAAGAGTTATTTGCATCATATATCCCCAAATTATAAGTTCTATTTTAAATCAATCCTTAAACTTTCAAATATTATAATTTCATCTCCAAACTATGACTCTCATTCTAAATTAATCCTTAAATTTTTTAACATTCTAATTTTATCCTTAAACAATGGCCTTCTTTCTAAATTGGTCCCCAAGCTTTTGAATATTTCAATTTCATCCCCAAATTCATCTAAATATGTAATTAGTCTCAACCATAATTTAACCTAAATTTTATTTTTTTACTTCAATAATATAACTTGGCCTAGCAACTTTATTAACAAGGGATATGATTAGTAAATACATATATATAATTTGGGATGAAATTGAAATGCTTAAAAATTTTGGGAACCAATTTAGAATGAATGTTAGTTTAGGGATAAAATTAAAATTTTCAAAAGTTTGAGGACTAATTTAGAACGATAGTCATAGTTTAAGGATGAAATTGGTACATTTAAAAGTTTAGGGACCAATTTAAAATGAGAGTCATACTTTGAGAGCATGTGATGTAATTAACTCAAATAATAATGAGTGGAAGTGAAAAAAATTGACAAAAGAAGTCCATAATGGATAAATTTAATGGGACATAGGGAATATATCATATTGATTCTTCAATCTGACTGTAAATAAATGTGACGAAAATCATAACAATACATAGATAGTATATTCTAATTACCATTGACAGTGGCAAGGTTGTTAGTATCTGGTTCCAGTTCTAAAATCAGTTATTTTCCATAAAATGGAGTTTTTTTTTTCACATTTCTTTTCCCAAAAAGGAATGTAAAAGCCAACAAAATCAACTTGAAGTGCTTTATCAGTCAAAGACTAATTGCAGCAATGGAGGATGCATGAATGATCATTTTACTGCAACCAACACTATTGAGCCAGGCTTTGGACGGGGGGATATGAAAGAAATATGTTAAATAAGATGTACAGACAGCTTTGATGAAAAGGTAGTTTTTTTTCCTTCTTCTTTTTTCTTGAGAATTATGTGAGAATGAAAGTGTCCCCCAATGAACTTTATCTTATGATCAAGGTGATTCATGTATAGCTCATTGCTTAGTGCACTTCCATGTTAAAGTAGAGTAAAAAAAAAACCTTCCCTAGCATATGTAAAACGATAGTGTTTCAAGCATCCATCCGCAGCAACGCCAAGTGCCAACGAGGCACGAGTATTTGTTGTACTAGAAAAAACATGCAATAAAACATGCAGTCTTGGATAAAACGGTTTAGTTTGGGCGAAATCTGAATGGCTGTGGCTGTTCAGGCACTGAACCTGCAACTCCGTTGCTTCTCAAACCCAAAGATAAGAGCAAAGACAAGGTCATGGTTTCCCCAAAGAGCAACACTTTTGAATTCTCAAAAGAAAGCTCATAACTTCATAGTTTCTTTCTCAACTTCACAGTCCCCAGAGGCCGATGTCAAGAAAGAATCGTGTGTAAACCTGGGGCTGTCTTTCTTCAAAGGACGCGTAAGTATACAAGGATTTCTGGTACAATTAGAACCGAAGTTTTTTATTTTCCTTCTTGCAAAATGGGTTCTTGTGCATAATTTAAAGATAGAAATGGAGCTGGTTTTATGACTATCGTGCATATTCGTTCTAGATTTATTGATTTCCATACAGTGATCCTTTAAAATGCTTCTATGAATTCATAAACATTGATCAGTTTTTGACAAGTTACAAATCATACTTTTTATTTGTAAATTCTAGTCATGTTTTTGTAAGAGTGAAAAATATTTCAGGTTAAAGATGCTTTAGTCCAGTTCGAAACGGCACTTAGTTTAGACCCAAACCCTGTGGAAGCCCAAGCTGCTCTCTATAACAAAGCCTGCTGTCACGCCTACCGGTATGGATTCAAATAACCATGCATGATTCTGATCTAGATATTCATATTTGCTTTAGGGGACTGGCGGATTACCAACCACAATTGTTAGGGTCCCACGTTAAAGGATTAAATCATCGAACAATTTAATGGCTTTGTTATATGAAATCTGAAGGTCCTGGGAATCTAGTTTGAGGCACATGTATGTCATAGTGATGTGTTCTTTATGCTTCTGCTATCTATTTGGTTATTCTCACTACATTCTAACTAAAGGTTGGGTTCAGGTTAATTTAGCAGGGTAAAAAGAGACTGTTTCTTCGGCTATACAAAAGGCTAGGAGATTTCGTACTGAGCTCCTCAGACGAGGTGTTCTTCTAGCTCCTGTCATTTGGGGTGAAGGTAGAACACCGAACTGGAGAAGAAAGGTTTCGGTATTTCTACTAAGGCAGCTTCTGCTGCTCTTCCTTCTATTGGGGTAAACTTCATGTTCTTAACTATTGTAGATTAGTAGCCATTCAAGGATAGTTCTTGTCCACTGATCACATTATCATTGTTCTTGTAGTTATTACGACTTCTTAGAAGTTTACTTGGTGACGTATACGGGTTGTACCATGCATGTAACTGTGTGTTTATGCTCTGGTGTACTTGTGCTGGTATACCACATATACATTTGGTTGCTGTCTTAAATTAATCAATTTTACATGGAATTTTTGGCTCTGGGAAGATTAGTGCATGCCCCAGGTGCCTTTTTTTTTAATTAAATTCCCTTCTTCAAACTTTTTATCTCTTGCTGCCATGGCCGGAAGACTTTGAGAAACGAGCTCAGTCTATAACGGATAAATCAAAGCTGAAAGCTGAAATTCGATTTAGAGCTGACGTTGTATCACCTGAAGAATGGGAGAGGTCACCTTCTACTCTATATTTACTATTGTTTATTCTTATTTGTTTTTAATATAAGAAAGATTTTTCTATTATGCATCTTTTGTAAGTTTATAGTTTATACATACATACACACGCATACACACTGAAGATTTTTACTTGCTCAGGTGGAGCAGGGATCAACAAGAGGCTGAAGGAGTGATATATGAAGCGAGACTGTCTGAAGTTGAAAAAACATACTGATGAGAAGCGTGATGACTCATCTAAGTCTGTGAATGTGGTCGATGATGACAATTCTAATAGCATTGAGGGTGATATACTCTCTATTTCAACGACTCAATTGACGGATGTTTGAATTCTTGATTCTGGATGTTCTTATCACATCACACCAAATAGAGAATTGTTTTCGACATACAGGTCAGTTAATTCTGGTTCTGTTTATTTGGGTGATGATCGATGTTGCAATATTGTTGGTATTGATGAGGTCAGAATTAAGATGTATGATGGCTCTGTTCAGACGTTGAGTGGTGTTAGACATATCCCAGATTTAAAGAAGAATTTGATTTCTTTGGGCACTTTGCACAAGAATGGTTTTATCCCTAAGGCTGATGAGGATAGGGAAACCATTCGGATTGTTAAAGGAGCTTTGACTGTGATGAAAGGAAAGATAACTGCATGGAATATTTATAAATTATTAGGGAGTACAGTTATAGGTGGAGTTCATTCTGTTGAGTCCTGTGATGATACAACCAAACTGTGGCATATGCGTCTTGTTCATCTTAGTGAACGTGGTATGGCTGAATTACATAAAAAAATATGTTGCATGGTGTTAAAAGTTGTAAGCTCGACTTTTGCAAGTATTTTGTTCTTGGTAAACAGACTAAAGTTCGTTTCAAGACTGCGAAGCATACAACTAAAGGGATTCTTGATTATATGCATTTTGATTTATGGGGGCCTTCCACGACATCGTCTTTGGGTGGATCTAGGTATTATGTTACCTTTATTGATGGGTTTTCACGGAAAGTTTGGGTGTATTTTTTAAATAGAAATCTGATGTTTTTGAGAAGTTCAAGCTGTTGAAAGCTGAGGTAGAAAACCAAACAGGATGAAAAATCAAGTGTTTGTGGTCTGATAATGGTACAGAGTACACAGATTCACAGTTTCTACACTTCTGTAAGGAGCATGGGATTAAGAGACATTTTACAGTGCGCAAGACACCACAACAGAATGGTGTTGTGGAACGGATACACAGATCGGTGAATGAAAGAGCCAGATGTTTGCGGTTGAATGCGGGGCTTCCCAAACACTTCTGGGCTGAGGCTATTAACATGGCGTGTTATTTTATCAATAGATCGCCAAGGGCATCATTGGTTGGGAAAGTTGCAGAAGATGTATGGACTGGTCATGATGTTACTTTTGATCACTTACGAATTTTTGGTTGTCCTGCTTATGTGCATGTACCTGCTGATGAGAGATCCAAACTTGATGCAAAATTGAAGGAGTGCATTTTTCTGGGTTACATGAAAGGTGTCAAAGGATTCAAGTTCTAAAATCCAATTGTGAAGAAAATTGTGATCAGTAGAGATGTTGTTTATTATGAACAACCCATGTTGCAGCAGAAGAAAGACACGACTGTGGTGGATTTCGAGCAGTTTCCAGTTGAGAAAACAGAAACTTCTCAACCGACTTCTGGTGGTTCCACTACGGATGATTTGCAGGATTATAGTCTCCGAAAAGATTGGGTTTTGAAGTCTTGGTCTTTTTTGCACTTACTGTTAGCAGTGATGATCCGGTTACTTTTCATGATGCAGTTACTAGTCAGGAAAACGACAAGTGGATGGCTTCCATGGTTGAGGAGACGGAGTCTTTGAATCACAATCGTACATGGGAGTTAGTTCGCCTTCCTGATGGTAAGAAGTCGATTGGTTGCAAATAGGTGTATAAGAAGAAACCAACAGTAACAGAAAAAGAAGGGGAGAAGTTCAAGGCTCGTTTGGTAGCAAAGGGTTTTTCACAGCAGAAATGAGTTGATTATGATGAAATTTTCTCTCCCGTGGTTAGGCACACTTCAATCCGAGCAGTACTTGCATTGGTGGCTAGTTGGGATTTGCCTTTAGAGAAGA